CTTACTTCTAATCTCACATTGTACATTGTATGGAACTGGTGCGTTTTAGATAACAATCCTGTACTTCTCTCAAATAGCTTGCGCTGGAAAATAATACTAAACTAATTTAATTAAAACAAAAGAAACACTATTTTAAATCAATGACAATGTAGAGCTCAACATTTAATAATATAAAACTCAATTTTTTTCTCAAGCACCTTGTTTTTCTGAGAAAGTGCTGGTTTTTTGCGACCAAAGATGGTATGCAAATGTCAACATTTGTATAAAAAAAATTTGAATGTATTACATAAATCTATCAATCGGATCGAACGAGAAAAATATGTGTGAGTCTGCTCAAGCTTTGTGGCTTCACTACCATGGAAAAAGAGTCTTTATCTTGAAGGATTTTCTTACAAGCCTTGCATATGGCGCCATCACTATTCTCAATCAGTGATATCTAGGAAATGTCATTACCATAGAGGAATATGAAGGGCAAACATGGTAAAATTTGAACCAATTATAGAATATTAATTAATTATTTTTCTTGTTAATTTTCTTTTCTGTTCAAAGATGTTTGAAGATAATGATGATATACCAATTACTTTAACAATCAATAAAACATATGCAAATAAATATCAAACATGGAGAGAAAAAGAAGAAAAACAAAAATGTAAAAAAACTTGTTGAGAAGAGAAAAAAAACGATCAAATTTTATTATTATTTTAGTAATAGCACGATATGGAAGTGATATTGAAGATGATTCTGATGAAGAATCTGAAGATGAAAATGCTCAGGTATTAATAAGAAAACAAAAAGATTGTTTTGTTTTTTTGTTAGTTGATTTTTATTGATATTTTCTAGGAATGGACAGATGATGTAGAAAAAGAATTTCTTCGTTGTTATTCAATTCTTAAAAAACGTGATCCTAAAATTTATGATACAAATACAAGTTTTTTTAATTTATCATCAACATCTAATGATAATAATAATGAAATAAATAAAAAGAAAAAAGAAAAAAAAATGAATTTAAAAGATGCTGAAATTCAATATGCTTTTGCTGAAGCTATGAATAAAGATGAAGATCATCATGATAATCATATTCAGTATATGAAGAAAGTTTTAAAAAAAAATATATAATGAATTAATATTTTAGAATCAATGGTAAAAAATCAATCATCGAAGAACAAGAAGAAATTAAAAATAGGTTAGAACTATTTTGAAAGCAAAATTCTTAGATAAGACTATTCCGTTTTGCGCAGTTGGGTAATGCCAAAGATAAGAATTACGAATCAACTTGAAATGCATTCAATAGAATTGTCTATTGAATTCATTCGAAAGGAAAACAAAATGTTGGATGAAATAAGATTTTTGAGTTAATGACGTAAGCAAAGTAAAGCTGAAATCAGAAGATCGAGTCCTACCATCAGGAAAATCCTGTTTACTACACGATTTCTTTGATATATAGGTTAAATCATTCGTTAGCAACATGACTGAGTACGACTTCACTACCGATCAACGAACTGAAAAGTTCGAAATCAATTTCAAGGGACTCATTGAAATCCCTAGAATCAATACTAAGACAAACATTTTCGTTTCAGTTCTGTCGAAAGATCGAAAGGAACTTTTTGACAATTCACTCGAAAAACCTTTACTGATAGAAAATTGCATTGAAATAATATAGCGTTTTTACTGATTGAGTCCATATATGAAGCAACTATTATTATCCTACTATGATTCTCGAATTTTGTTACATTTCCAATGAATATATTTATTATAATTTAGTCTTAAAAATGTTCTTTCAACAACAAATGATGATGATATATTACTTACAAAAAAAGTTAAAACTGAAGCAGAAAAAGTAGAAAATTTAAATTGAAGTGTTATATTCTTTTATTTAATTATATTTTTTTATTTTAGGCTAAAGAAGAAGAAGAATATATTGAATGGTTAAAAGGACAAAAAAGTGAATTATCAGATTCATCGATTAAATCAGATTTGGTAATAATTTCTAATTTAAAAAAAATAAATTATATTATTTTTTGATTCTTGTTCAGAAATATTTACATGATTATTGGAATGATCCATCATTATCTGAACGTGATCGTTTTTTACGTGATTTTATTCTAAATAAAATGCATTTACAACATGCTGATGATGATGATGATGAAACAAGGTAGAATAATTTCTTTTAATTTATATTTTTAATTCAAAAAAAATTTATCTGAAATTTTCTTCAAGTGAAAATATTTTTTGTATCATACATTTTACTGATTTTTCTTTAGTTTAGAATACCATCCTATGATGAAATCATTAATCAAAATGAAGATGATGATGAATTTGAAAAAGCTGAAGAATTCGAAAGAAAATTTAATTTTCGTTATCAAGAACCAGATTCAGAATTTGTAAATAAAAATCTTTTTTTTTTGATTAAAAATAAAAATAATTTATTTTAGTTAAAACGATATCCACGAACAATTGATAATAGTGTTCGTCGTAAAGATGATCGACGAAAATTAAAACGTATAGAAAAAAAACAACGAAAAGAATTTGAACATAAACAAAAACTTGAAGAAATTAAACGTTTAAAAAATTTAAAAAAAAAAGAAATTTTCAATAAAATGAAACGTTTAAAAAATGTTGCCGGTGATGATAATTTACCAGTTAATATTGATGATCTTGATGCAGATTTTGATCCAAAAGAATACGATCGTCGAATGCAAGTAATACATTAAAAAATCATTTTTTTTTATTATAAAGAGAAACAAAAAAAAAAATTTTTGTTTTTTTTACATTCAAAGGAATTATTTAATGATGATTATTATCAAAAAGGTGTTGATGAAGAAGATAAACCTGAAGTATCCGATGAAGAACTTCAAGGTATATAAAAAATTTGTGTTTTTGTTTTAATAATTTTTTTTTTATTTTTTATAGTGGAAAATTGGGATAATACAGAAGAAGAACAAGTATCAAAATCTGTGCAATCAAATAATCAAGAAGAAGAAGAAATAACAAAAAAATCAAAGAAAAAATCAAAATTACGTCAAGCTATTACTCAAACAAAACCAACATTTGATCCGAGTATGAGAGAAAAAAAAAACTTATTTGACCCTACATTGACGGAGTATATATTTATATAGAATTTCATATAAAAACAATAATAATGATAAAAGAATTTTGCAGCTAACTATTCTACAAATTTAAATTTTCAGAATTTCATTTTACATCTGTAAATTTTTGTCATCGCAATATATGATCCTTTGTACCATATGAATCGCGCGATATGTGTGTTATAGACAGACACAGATGAATTATGATTTCTAGGCCATATCAGGCATGTACCCAGAAATTTGTCAAGGAGGGGCCCAACTTCGCAGGGGGAAGGCCGCCATGGCGCAAAAAAAGTTTTATCACGCGAAAATATTTTTCTCTGTACCCCCCCTCCAGGACTCTTTCGTCTCAGGGGGGGCCCGGTCCCCCTCCCCCCCCCTGCGTACGCCACTGGGGAGGGCCCACCATGGGAAAAAAACGTATACCTGTATCCCCCTACAGACGTCTTCAGTCCTGAGAGGGCGCCCGAACCCCATGGGCTCCCCCCCCTTCGATACGTACCTGGACCCTATCCTTTCAGTTTAGGGAATATTAAAATTACAACACTGCGATCTTTGTTTAGCACAATATCCGACTGTTTTGTAACTAGAAGATAATATACTTGATGAATGGACATTTGTACATACAAATTTTTATTGAAAATTAATGAAGCTAAAACGTATAATTTAATAAAAATCTTTATTTTTTATGGTTCGTTAAACTTCACGCTTAAATTAATCTACAAAATCTCTATCCTTCAGGAGAACGATATTTTTTCTTAAAAAAAAAAAAACCTATGTTAACCTATTGAATAAATTTTTTATGCATGAAATTAATTCTCAAAGATATTGTACTTGGCAAAATATAATTTTTCTACTAACACTAAATAATTAAATTTTTCATACTTCATAAAAGATTGAAATTTAAATACTTAAGACCTATATTTCGAAAACTATTCGACAAGTAAATCAAGTTCTATACAATTGTAAAAACAAAAAAAAAGGCCAGGTTTTTTTTCCTATAGTATCATCCGCACGACAAATCTTGTAACATTAAATTTTGCTAGAATATTTTTCTAATTTTGAAAAAAAAAAAAAAACTTTTATATTCAGACTTAATACACACACAAAAAAAAATTTTTTCTTAAAAGTTTGTGTCATACACTTCTTTAATTCCTAAAAAAAAAATTCAATGAAATTATTGTTTATTTTCTAGAAGAAAAATCTTTTGAACAATATTTTAATGAATATTATAAACTTGATTGTGAAGATTTTATTGGTAATATGCCTGTTAGATTTCAATATCGACAAGTTGAACCAAATAATTTTGGTTTAACTATTGAAGAAGTAAATATAAATTTAAAATATATAAAAAAAAAATTATGTTTTTTTTTTGATTTAGATTCTTGCAGCTGAAGATCGAGAACTTAATGCATGGTGTTCATTAAAAAAAACATCACAATATCGTTCAAAAACTGAAGAACTTCATGATTATCATGTTTATAAAAATAAAGCAAAAAATATTGAAAAAAAATATAAAATTCTAACAAGTATTTATCAAGAAAAAGATAATAATGATGAAAGGTAATATATATATAGAAAATTTGTATTCTAAATACATAGAAATAGTTTAATCTTTTTATTTAAAAATTTTTAATTTATTTTATATGATGTTCATAGAAAATAATTAATAAGAAGAAAAAAAATTTTTATCTTATTCATATGTGCTTATTGAATATAAAAACAAATAGACACAAAAAAAAAAAGAAATGCGTAATAATATATTGCATGTCATTATAACAATGATTTTCATTGTCAATTTATTTAGGTCATATGTTTTTTTTCATTTTAATGAAAATTAAGCATTAGATTGAGCATCTTCACTACTATATATATACTCTGCAAATAAATTATAGAAATTTTTTTTGTTTTGTTTCAAAAATTTTTAGTTATTTGATCTGCTGATGAATGATGACGCACTATTGGTTGACTAATTAATACATCAGGAGGAGAAGAAGTTTTTGAAGATTTTTTAAAAAATGAAAAGATATTTTTAAATGGTTTAGTTGGCGAATTACCAGCTGAACTTTGTCCACTTGCTTGTCTTACGTTTGTCAATTTTGGATTTTTCTTAAGTTTTTGATTTAAATATTCATCTATTTTTTTTTGATCAAAATTATAACGATTTGCCATTAGTACTCGTTTTTGTTGTCCAACGATAGGTACTATTTCATATTGAATAGATGGTGACAATATTGGTGATGATATTGGTGTAGAAGTAGCTGGTGTTGCATATATACCACTATCATCAGTTAATTTAGGATCTAATTGAATGCGTGAAATACCGTTAAGTGAGCATGACGGACGTAATCCGATTGGTTTAAATGATGGAGTTTTTTGATTACTAAAAGGTTCAGGAGAATGTGAACGAATTATGTCAGTACTACCAATCGAATTTTTATATGTAGTATGAGAAGAAAATTCATAAGCCGATGATATAGATTTATCACATATATTTTCTGATGATATTTGATTATTATTAATATTATTGTTTGATCTGTATATAACGGTATTATGCGATTGATAACTTGTTGTTATTGTTTGTCTTGATGGATCAATATTTGATGATGAATTTTGATGATTATTATCATCAGTATAAATATCTTCTTTAAAATAAATAGAAAAAAAAAAAATTTTTATATTTAAATTAATAATTAATTCAACATACCAAAAGAATCATGTAAATCTATTGGTTTTATAATACTTGTCTTCGGAAATCTTCGATGGATAAGATCTGTCATAGGACGTAGAGTCGTATTTGTCATCTGATAAGATGTTTATTTAAGATATTGTGTCTTTTTTTGGTAGAAATAGTATCAATAAAATTCAAAGAAAAAAAGAATATAAGCGAATATGCATAGATGTAAATATGTAAAAAAAAAAGAAGAAAGAGAAAAAAAAAATTTTTACGACAGGTAAAAATAGATGTTTTTCTTTTTACGTGTATATTATTTTTTTCTTCGATACACGTTGGTATTTATTTAGTGACGTATGCCGTTACGAATCATAATATGGAAGTTTCCTTTACTTTTTTTTGTTCTATTGGATGTTTTTTTTTTTTTAGTCAACTTACGAAAGAAGAAAAACATGATTCAAACGCATTGGTCTCTATCGAAGGTACATTATCATCAACAAAAAACAAAAAACGTAAAAAGAAACACTTATCAAATGAACAACGTTTATTAACGAATATGTCCGATGAACGTTTAGAAGTTTATGGTTTAAATCCAAAACGTTTTCGAAATTTTGTTCGTTTTAATAAAAATAAAAAAGAAAAATAAACATACATTCAGATAAGATAATAAACTTTATGACAATCTTCAACAACAAAAAAAAAAAACGAAATTTTTTGAAGATTTCAAAAATAACTATCATATTGTCTAGTATTTAAATCAGAATTATTGACTGAGTGTCTATTAAATAAAAGGTCAATCTTTGAAAATCATGCATATTTTATATATGCAAAAATTATTCATATGATTTTGATAAAGGTAATATTTTCATTGCTTTATGAGTTGGAAAAATTTAATGATAAACCTAATAAATACAAGAAGAATAAGTCGTACGTTTTTTCTACTGTGATACTATTGAATTAGCTGTTTAATAACTCTGAGTCTTTATTTTGAAGTATGTTTAATAAGAAAATCGAAAATAAGAAAAATTTTTCAGTACTTTATTGTTAAAATAGCAAACAAAAATTTTATATTGTTCAAAGATGTTAAGTATTATCTTGAGATGGATGAGGACATTAATATCGTGTTTAATATAATTCGATAAATATTCTATCGAATTTAAATCAGTTGTAAAATAATTTTTTTCTGATATAGATAAACTTTTGATAAATATAAAAACTGAATGTTTCGAGAAAATATTTTGAAATACTTTATCACTCAAAAAAAAAATAAATCATCTGATCCTTTTCTGCTCATACATCATTAAATTTTCAAATTTCAATCGCCTTGTTGCACTCTTGATATAATAGATTCAAATGGAAGTTCTTCACCAATCTTACGCTATATTAATTTATTTTCCATATGATCCTAACAAACTGAATATTATATTATCAATCCATATGATACTATCTCAGAATTGATCTGATTGCATTAAATAAATATAGAAAATCATTTCAATCGATTGATGTTTGTCACTACGTCATCGATAATCATCTTTATTGAAGTACTAAAATAATTAGAGTATTGATTTAAGAATATCTTATGGATAGTGTAATACAATGTTTTCTGTCTTCGCATATACACTCATAAGTAGTGTATATAACATACGAAATATTTAACAACGGAAACATTTTTTTGTGAGGGCATACCAATGATTTGTGTTTAGTTGAAATAAAACATCCTCGTTTTTCCTTAACTAATCTCAAAAATCATTACAGATCACAGTCAATTGTCTGAAAATGACTGTAAACAGTCATTTTAATGTCATATTGAGTCGTTATAACACGATCATTATAAATGACTGTATTACTAACCTTATATTTACGAGAGTATATTCTTTGACTACCCAAGCAGAAATACATTTTCAAAAACGTGTTTAAACGCATAAAAAAAGAACTTAAAATCCATCAAAACTGAACGTGTTTGGTTAACAATCGCGGTTCCCGACTGTCAGCGAAAAACGATCACTTTTTGCCCTTTCAGCCAAAAAAACGGTGATAAACGAGTGTAAACGCATAGGACGATCATAAAAAGTTGTCATCTTTTTCATATTTATAAATCATAATCACAGCTCACGAAAAGGAAAAAGATAACTACTTTTTATGTTCTTTTTATTGCGTTTATACGAGTTTACAAGTGTGTTTTTGCTGAAAACGCACAAAAAGGGCAAAAAGTGGTCGTTTTTCGCTGACAGTCGGGAACCACGATTATGAGCCAAACACGTCCACTTTTTATGGATTTTAAGCCCTTTTTTGTGCGTTTAAACGCGTTTTTAAAAATGTTTGTCTGCTTGAGATTGGGACATAAAATTTATGTTCCAAGAATTTATTTTTACTATTATTCTAAAAGTCAAGAGTAATTAACAATTACTTAAAGTAAAGTCGAAATATTAAATAGATCGTCCATGAAAGTCAATGTCAATTTTTTTTCTATAAGAATACTTCGATGAATTTTTCAAATTTCGTTTCATTTTAGTCAAATTGATTGTTAGGAAACTTTTCATTTACTAATTTTTAACTATGAAGTGTGTTCAAGATGTTTTAATCTATGCGAATAATTAACAAAGTAATAATTCATACAGTATAACTGTTATAGATGTATACAAAAAGTTTATTTTTAGTTAAATCAATAGTTAGAATAATAAGAATACCTATGCTTAAAAACTGACGTTTTCTTATGATTTTACCATCCGGTTACTGACTTCATTTATCATGATAAACCGTTAGTTAATTGCGGTTTACTCTTAATTTTTTCGGATAAAGTCAATCGCTTCTATTTGCTATCAAATTTAAAGAAATTTTTGAATTGCTCTAGATTATTTTTACAATTTCATTTTGTATGAAATAATGTCGATAAGCGGAATTCGCCTGGAAAACCAACACACTATGAACATGTCTTCTGACCTAGCTTTTATTTAGACCTTCTTTTTTTTAATGCTTCATTAGTTACAATTGACGAACCAGTTCATCTGTAACTGGCTTCTGTCTGTCAAGATCCCAAGATAAATATAATCATAACTATTAAATTTATATGTCCTTAAGCATCATCTGAGAATGGCACGAAACATGATCTCTACAAAAAAAGAAAGTACTTTTGCAGCGACATCTAGTTTTGATTTAGTTTTCATGTTCATTTTGCTATTAAATGAGCACAGATATAATTTTTACACTAAAATAGGTTATTAGATTTTTTTGAATCTATGAAAAACAAGAATATGGTACTCTTTACAATTATCGCATGACTTCTTTTTTGCTGTTGCTACCTGTAGTTTACCAGTAATCATAACTGATTAATTTGCGGTTAACCACACCCATATCCTAATGTTTGCAATATGGGTAGTGGATCCAAGTAAAATAAAAGAAATAAAAATTTCTGCTCAAAATGCAAAAATAAATACGACAACACGTTTATCTAACAATCAATTATTCGTGAAGAGAAATTACCGGTTCTTAATGGTTTTCGCTTAACCTATTCTGTATTAAAGTAATGAAGTTGAAAAAAACGGGACTTCCACATTTTAACACAAATATGACTGTATTGGTAAAATTTTTATTATTCATTCATATCTTAAAATAGAGAATGATTTTTGTTTTTAGTCATAAGAAAGTATTTGATAATTTTTTTTTCCTATCGAATTGGTAATTTAGTCGTTGTTTTTTTTCTTGTATAAATATTATGATAAGACTATCAAAATTCGTGCTCCGCAATTATGACTATTGTGAAACACGATCTAAAAGAGAGTGTTGAAGTGTATAGGGGTAGAAATTTGCACCCACTACCCCCCCAGACGTGACAGACACGTTAAAAACGGCTTGTCACAGACATGACAGACATCCTTAACAACGGTCGATCACAGACGTGACAGACAGCCTTATACAAACCACAGACTGTGATAGAAGACTTTAAGCAACAATCAGATAATGTATAACTAACATATGATTAGAGAATATGTGGAATATTATCCTGTTTGAACTATATAATGTAAAGTACTTCATGGTGAAGAAATATACTCCAACCTATATTGAAAAGCACAGTTTTTAAAAGATTTGAAACAGCAGTTATATCGTATTTCACATTTTTAATTCCGCAAAGGTTTGCGCTATTTTCAAATCAAATGAATTCTATGAATCAGTAGATCTTCAATTTCGATATAGAGAATGAAATATTTTATTGAGTTGAATATCTCATGAAATGAAGATATAAGAAAGAAGAAACTAGTAGACATAATAAAAAAAAAAAGAAAATTAAGACTATTCAACCATATCTGTAGAATGGACGATAACAGACTGATAAAACATACAACATTTGCAAAGATAGATGAAAAATCTTGAAGAGGACGTCCATGTACAGAACAGTGGCGGATCTAGCAGTTCGGCGATTGAAGTTTCAAAGCGATTACGTCACGTAAAACTTACTATGTAATTTAACCCTTCCCTAACCAACATAGAAGCCTCACAAAGATAATTCCATTCGCACTAATCTATACTTCTTACTGCTTCAAAAAAAAGTAGCTCCCCTCACTTTGGCAAAATCCAAGATCCGCCACTGGTAGAGAATGACTGGACGACATCAAAGATTGATGTAGATACAGCGAACAAGATCTGTTTCATCTGAAGCAAAACCGACCAGGTGCGGCGCGAGCGGTGAGTAACCTCCCCGTTCTGACCTCTTCGCGCCGCCCCTGAGACCGACGAATATGGAAGAAACTAATCCGTACATTGGTTGGCCCTAACGGGCGATAAGCCTACGATACATCATGAATATCTGATAGAGCAGAACTTAATATATTTCAATTCAATCATATACATTTTCCTAGTAAACTAGAATGTATAAATTAACTTAATTTGTAATGATATTTATTCGATTAATCTTAATCAAAAATCTATTAAATATTTTTGCTAATTATTTCAAAATTTTATATATAAGTTTATTTAATTTTTTAAATAAATTCATATAATAAAAAAATTTTTGTCAAAACCATCTATGTACGACATCTATATGATAAATTTTCTTTTGAAAAACTTGCACAATAACAATAACCAATAGAAAATTATCTATATTGCAGAGGTTTAACAAATATTTCCCATTTGTGATTCATCTCGAACCAATTATTACAACATATAAGGGCAAGCAAAAGCAAAAGGAATAAATACAGAACAGAGCAATTCATTTCAGTTGAATTTCGCATAACATCTATATAGTCTAGTCTCTTATTTGTAGATCGATTATTTATCTTCTCTTGTATTAAAACCAAAATTTTTTCATTTTTGTTTTTCTTGTTTATTGTGTTATTTATTATTCCTATTCATATTGATCTCTGTTGAATAATGTACATATTAAAAATAACAAAAGAATGAAGGACATTGATATATAAATATATGATTAAATTGTTATGATTTATTAAATATGATGGTTAAACAAAAATATTCAATTTGATTGTTTTCTTTTCTTTCCTTTTTTTTTTTTGTTTATTAAATTATTTGAACAAAAAAAAAATAAACTATTCAAAATAAAATTAATACTCAATGCAAAGTGATTCGTCATCGCTTGAAACGCTCAAAAATAGTTTATTGAGCGCCGTTGATGCTGATTATAATGTAAATGTTTTTTTCTAAATTTATTTAAATAAAACATAAAAAAAAAAACCAAAAAAAAATACAATTTTCTTTAGGTTACAAATCCTGAACTTGTCTTGGATATTATTTCTCAATTAGAAAAAATTCAAATAACTAGAGATCAATTACAAGTTTGTTGATTTTGTCTTTTTTTTTTTTTTGACTAATACAAAAAAAAAAAAACAAATTCTTTCTTTTTTATTTCATCTAGACAACTCGTCTTGGTCGAGAAATAAATACAATTCGACAAAAAATTGATGCACGAAAAAAAAGTGCTAAATCAACAGCAGATCATCCACAATCTATAATTGAAATAGCTCAACGTGCTAAAAAACTTTTACGATCATGGCAAGGTTTACTTAATACATCACAAACTGATAGTAATAGTCCCTTATCATCATCTATTCCACCGTTATCATCATCATCATCATCATCTATTCCTATAACAAATGGTGAAATTTATGAATCAAAATCTCCTCCATCAGACAAACCTCGTTTAATACTTAAAGTTAAAATAAATCCATCAATAACAACAAATAGTAATAATAATGATATTAATAATACAACACAAATAAAACGTAAACATGATTCTGAAATAAATGGTTTATCAACTAAACGACGAAAAGCTCAAATTGATATACCAATAACATCACCACCAGCACCATCATCATCATCATCATCAATATCATCACCTATTAATTTAATTGAATCAATAAGTAGTTTACCTAGATTAAAAACAACTCAACAATTACTTATGGAAATGCAAATGAATCAACCTGATGTTTTATCAACACAAACACCAACAGTTAATGCTATTTTACAAAATCAAATTATTGATGAAAGTTTACATGAAAAAGGAAAAGTTGATTATTCAGCGTTACATCATGGAAGAGATATAACGAATTCAAATATCAAGTAATTATTAAATTAATATCTTTATTTTACTATAATAGATTATTATTTTTTTTTAAGTATAAATTTCATTAGTTCATAAAAATAAATAAAATTTTCAAATATTATCTTAGCTTTTTTTTTTCTACATATGAATACATATAACTTTAATTATAAATTACTTTTTTTTTTTTTTTTTTATCGAAAGATAAATATTCATACGATAATTGAAGTTATGATTTATGTGTAGTCATACGTAGAAAAATTAAAGGATAGACAAAAAACATTATTAGACATATGAACGAGACAGACATCATCCAGGTCTTGTTCATGTTTAATATTAAAGAAATATATAGAGACTCTTTGTTTTGCAATCTGTTCACTAAATTTTTATTATTATTTATAATTAATAATTTATATGATATAATCATATCTGTACTTTTCTTATTATAGATTGATTATTGAAAAACAAAAAAATTGTGGTTTTTTTTTTTATTTATAGTGAGATTGAATTGAAAATGACATCAAACTTTTTCTTTTTTTGCTAAAAATTGTAGAATTTTTTCATTAATTTTTCAAAGAAAAATAGTAAATCAAAGTCAGAAAATCATTTTAGATATGTTTCCATAGCAACAGACACAAAAAAAAAAGTACAATGTATAATAATAGTATTTAAGATTAATTTGAATTGTAAGTTTAAATAAAATATTCGTTTTTTTCTGCATTGACTATAACTTATTTTTACAAATTCTTCTATAATTTTCAATAGTATTGATTTCATAAAACTTACTAAAACAAAGTTTTTAATATAGGACATTGTTTTTTTTTTTCTCCAAATTCAATTTACAACTTTCTTTTTACAATAGTAACTAACTTAAATTAAATAAACTTCAATGATTATATGATTTAACTTTTGTTGAAGTTCATATAGAATATATCGATTAATAAAATCTATTTAGTTATTGTTGATTAATTTTTGTAAATAATAAGACAATAAAAATTGCTATTTTATACGTGGATTAATTGTAAAAAAATTTGAAAATAAATATAATCGTTTTTTTTTTGTTGTTGTAGTACTAATTATCAAAAACAATTATCATTTTCTACTCTTCCAAATGTTATATCTCCTAGCAATTCAACATTATCAACCGGTTCATCATCAAAACGTCCACCAGGAGGACTTGTACGACGTCCATCATCAACAAATACAAATTGGGAAAATGGTAGTAGTGCTGGTGGTTCACCTGTTTCTCCATCATCATCATCATCATCATCGATAATAAGTACGACATCTTGGCCTCTTTCTACAAACATTCCAGAACCACCATCATCTATACCTGTCATTCCAAAAAAGAAACGTCGAAGAAAAGATAAAAATTTATCATCACCATCACAACAACAACAACAAATTCAAACATTTAATATCGAACAGTCAACACCATTATCACCTGATATGTCAATAATATGTTCATCATATAATACAGTTGCTGAACTTGTTGAAGCTCATCGTAAACGTATATTAGCTGAACATGATAAAAGAGAATTAGAAGCAAGACCTGATTTATTATTAGCACCTATTGAACAACTTGCTTTTGTTTATGAACGTGAAAGGACTAAAGAATTAAATATAAAATCTGAATCAAAACAAATATCATTGACAACAGTTGATAAACTTGATCAACCATTTGGTCTTATTGCTTTACCATTTATTGATTGTCCACTTGACTTTGATCTCGTACTTGATGAACTAGTCGTACAACAACCGACGATGGATATGTAGATGTGTTTCTTTTTTTTTCCTCTTTCTTTCTTTCTTTCTTTCCTTTTCTTTCGTTTTTTTCAAAAACTTATACAAAGCAAACAAACAAAAAAAGAAAAAAAAAAAAAAAAAAACTACAAAAACAAAGGTGTTTCAACAGTTTTCTTTTTTTTTTTTTGTTCTTTCTTTTCTTCCTTGTGCGCGTGTGCGTGTTTGTTTGTTTGTTTATTTATTTTTTAAAAAAAAAACAACAAAGCAAAGAAGATAATTCTTGAGAGATTAAAAAAAATAAAAAACAAACGTGCTCATTTATGTAAAAGATATTTATTGAATATATATATGTATATTCTATTCAATTAGATTTTCATAATGAAAACAAGATAGAGAATTTTTAATTGGCATAATTAAAATATTTGATGGTAATAATTTTTGTTCATCATCAATAAATAATAAATGAAAATGAATTAATAATTGAAAATATTGATGTTGTTGAAAATAATTAATTATTGATGAGAATGAAAGATTTTTAGTTGTAAAACTAAAACAAAACAAGAAAAATAGATTAATCTTATGAAAATATAAGTTTATTATGAAATTTAATTATATTATTATAATTAATCATTCAAAATTATTCTAGATGATATAGTTAATAATAAAAATTGAAAGTAGAATATTCATAGTAATTTTAAAGACATTGAGAGGTGTGACCGTAGTAAGGTCAATAGGGTACATGTTGTTTCCAAAGCCTCATTCATTATCTTGTCATGCGCATCGTTTTACATATACCCACGTTTTAACCTATTCTTTGTTTCTTTCTCCCATAAGATTAGTTTATTGTTTTCTGTCATGTATTTTTCACATGATATATAAGACATGAATATTATAGATTAAAATTATGATAAATATTATTTAGAAACATGATTTGAATGATAAAAAAATATTCAAATTGATTTTGATTTTATGTGAGAAAAAAAACTATTTGAACTCATATTGAATCTATAAGAGTAACGAAAAAAGAAAATATTTCGAAGAGTATATCATTTGTCATTAAATCAATTGTAACTCAACTCAAAAAATTTATCATGATGAACTTGTTATATTCAACAAGTCATTCTTGTTAATTCGATCGCAATTTTTTGTGAATTTATTTGAATAATAATATTAATATGATTGTAAAAATATTTTTCGCTTCACATATCTCTTCTTATCTGTTTTATGAGGAAATCTCTTCAAATTTTAATCGCCGATCGAGCTTATATTTTGTTCATAAGTAAGACTTGATGAGATTAGAATGTCTCATGATCAACTAGAATGTCCTAAAAGTTTCAGTTCAAATGAACATTTCTTTCTCAAGATATTGAATATTCAAGAAACGATCATATTTCAAAAGCAAAGGTCAAAGAACATCGAGCTTCTTAAAAACTCAATATTTCGACAAGAAAACGTTCATTTTAGCTAAACATTCTAGTGATCATAAGACCTGTTTATGGACAAAATTTCATTGCCAAAGGTCGTAACTCCAAGAGAACGGTGTATGGAGACAAATCCTTCCGGATTTCTGCTAGTCTCATCGAGTCTTACTTATAGGCAAAAAATATGAGTATTAACACTTGAAGAGGTTCCCTCGTAAATGTATAAAGTTTTTAGAACGATCATTTTTTCTATTTTATGGTGACTTACAAAAGACACACTATTTTTAATGATTGAAATTGATTGAGAATCATGGATAATATATCAACATTAATATCAATTAATTCAATTGAACGTAATGATATATGAGGCAAAAACGAATAGAATTTTAATATTGTACTATTTAGACTACATGTTTTTAATTTCGATGAAAGATATAATTGTTCATTAGTTTGATTTGATAATTTAATAACTAGCAAAAAACAAAAAAATATTTAAATTAATAAAATTAAAGATTTTTTTCAAAAATAATATTTTACTTTGTAATGAAGCTAAATCTAAATAACGAACAGTATCTAATTGATCAAGAAAATTTTTTAATATAATATAATCACATGTTGAATGACGTATTATAATATTCTACAATAGAATATAAAATACATTTTTTTTTTTTTGAAATTAAATTTAAATTCGAATACTTTTAATGATTGTTTATCAATAGAAGATAGTAGAAAATGAATATTAATACAATTTTCAAACCATATTGATTGTAATCGTTCAATAAAATAGACTAAAATAAATAAAGATAAAAATTTCATTGAAAAATAATATTCTTAATTCATATACTATTTTCTGGAAAAGTTTGAATTAAATATAAATTATGTAGAGTAAGTGATTTCAACCTATAACAAAAAAAAAAAGTAAATATTATTACTATTTAATATAAAACTTTTTTTTTTTTTTTTTAATGAATTAAAATTTTTGTTTTATTTTAAATTATAACTATATAATATCAAATGTTGGATTAACAACGGAAAGGAAATAATTGTTAATAAAGAAAAGTTACTTTTAACAAATATTTATATTTGTATTAAATAGTTTTCTTTTCGAATATATTGAAGTTCAATCTTTGATCAAAGATTAATTTTAATGAATATTTACTTAACCTACTAACATTGATCAAGACATCATCACAGTTAGAATAAACGATACAATTATTATAAATGTCTATAGATATATATATCGTGCTGCTTTATTATTATTATTATTGTTTTCTTTTCTAAGGAATATAAGATCGAATTACTAATGATATTAATTAAAAATTTGTTTTTTATTAATTATAAAAAAAATCTGAAAGTTTTTTTAGGATCTTCTAATACAAAGCTCTATTAGATTAGCTAATATTTGTACTATAGAATTTGACAAATATAGACGATCATAAAAAAGTCAAAAAACAAATTTACATAGCAAAACACATTTTTCTCCATGCGAACTCTTTCAAATTTAGAAATGTCTATATTTCTTCAATCGACTAATATGTCTGTACAAAAAAAAATATATATATGATCTCGATTGAATAAAGTATTTCGAAGAGTGAAACAAACATGAACATTGTAATCATATTGGAATAGAAATTTTTTTTTCAATTTATTAATCTTTTGAATTTAAACAATAGAGTCATTTACAAATGATACTGATTGAATATTAAAAATAAACATATGTATTAATTTTATAGTTATTAATATAAAACATATAATTAATAAATAATTATTAATAGGTGAAGTTTCTCCCAATGGTAATAATGTTAAACCACGTCTTTGAGCATCTCTTAAATGATGTGTTGACCAACCAAGAAAAAATATTATTGAATAATAACTATATTGATTTCGATATAGAAAATATTCAAATATATAAACAATTAAAGTTATTATTAACAAAAGAAGACTATTATGTAGAAAAGGTCGATCTTGTCGTTGATTATGTAATACACTATTTAATGATAATGAACGTATTTCAATAAAATGATCAATATCAATAAAACAACCAGATAAAAAAGCAATAATTAATAATGAATATTGTGTCCAACCAAATAGAAAACTTGTAGCAAAAACACTAACTAATCCATGTATGAGATTATCAGTTAGAGAACGTAGATACATATTTTGAATAGTATAAATTGTTAGAGGTCGACCAAAACATAAACAATCACCAACAAGACTAACAATACATAAACTAAATAGATTTAATCCATTGATTAATAAAATACTTCGTAATCGAGACATTTTATACTATCTGGAAGAAAAATTATTACTTCATACATTCAATTCTATATTAATATTTAATTAAATGAAATTTTATTTAGAAAAAATTAATAAATCTTTTCTATGAAAATTTTCATCATAGATCAAAATAGTAATGTGTAATATTTATTCATTGCATGATAGATAATCAGCTTAGAAACATTTATCAAAATATATGTATGATTTTTGAAGTTCATACTAATACAAACAATTAAAATCAATTATATTTTTACAAATCAAAGTTCATAAATTTTTTATTCTTTTGAATTCAAAATCAATATTCAATATCACACTAGAAACTGAAAATTATTTCAAAATCTTATTCTAAAAAATTTATAAATAACAAGAAAAAGTTTCATCACTTTAAATATATATATATCGAAGAATTAAAAAAAAAGTAGAATTTCGTTATAAAACTTTGTCTATAAATAAGTTCAACGACGCGCAGAATATCATAAAATTTTCAATAGACAAAGGATGTTCTTTTTTCGGGACATCGAATAGCCACAAGCATTATATAAATTGTAGCCTCGACATAGGTTCAAACAGTGATTTATCTACTGGGTGGGCGCTGCCCACTCGAAAATATACAGCAGCCATTCGTCTACCGGGTAGGCCGAATGGGCGCCGCCCACCCGAAATTTCGACTCGCCCACTCGGGAAACGAAACCTAGATAAAACACTGGGTTCAAATGATGGGCATCAACGCGAATGGTTTTCTATATTAAAGCAAACAACATTTTTAATGTATTTAAATATTTGTTCATCGTTAACGAATCCTAGAGTCAATAAAAAGAAGAAAAAAAAAGTTCTAAACAAATACAGGAAGTTGTAGAGTTCGCGAGTGTATTTAATTTATTTTATGAAGTATCGATCGAAAGAAAAAAAAGAAGGTTTTTTCAAGATTATCCTAAGATTGTTAAATTTTAGAATGTATAACTATTTAAAATAATACTAATCATTTATGTTATTAAATTGAATCTATTCATTTTCTTATAATTGGAAAAATTTAGATGATCTTTTATATATATTAATAAAAAATACCTTTTTAATTTAAATAATAAATTTATTATATCAGACATTGTATTAATTAACATAATTGAATATGAATCAAGTTCAATAATATTATGTATAAATGAAATTTTTAAATATTTTAATTGTTCAAGTTTTAATAGAAAATTAAGTGATGGTTCAATTGATAAAAATTCATATGATAAATATAAACGTTTGATAAATTTTTTTAATAAATATTCAAGTTGTAATTGATCAAATGAACGAAGTGATTCAAAATATATTGAATAACAACGTAAATAAATATGTTTTTTTAATTGTTCATCATTATTATTATTATTATTATTTGATATAAATAAATGTTGTTTACGTCGTTTATTAGTTGAATTTATTAATGGTTGAGTTTTTAAATAAATATTACAATGTGAATAAATATTTGTTTTCGTAAATAAATTTATATTTGATGAACGTATATTATGAAAATATTTTGATTGTACTAAATATAATGGACATTGATCAATATCAAATATAATTAATGACCAAAAATTTGTATATTGATTAATAGAAGAATAAAATAAACGTGAAACAAGACGTATTGATAATAAATCTGATATTTTAAGATATGAAAAAATATGAGCCCAAATTTCAATTGGTAATTGTGGTAATAATGAACGATTTTTCCATTCAAGATAACGTTTACGTGTTGTTGACATGACTAGATTTTAAAAGATTACTATTCTAAAATAGAACTATCGAAATTGATATGTACCATTTTAATTTTATAAGGTGATCTTAATTAGACAAAAATGATATTTCACTCGAAATATTATTTCTAAAGCTAGATGAAAAATTTTAAGTAACATAGCCATAATTCAGCTTCAAAGATCCATAATTAGTTCAAATCATTCCGTTATTAACAAAAACAAAAGGTTAATGATTATTGATGAAAATATTACATCTCTCGTCCATTAAACATTAACAACAAGGCTTATATTATTTTACAACATTCCAAAGTCTTCGTTAAAATTTCAATATATTGTCGATGAGTAATAACCCATAGATTCGCTATAGTCGTTCTACAATCAACATAAAAAAAAAACTTGAATTGATTAATTTATAACATTAAGGAAATAATCAATATAAATGTTTGTGCATAGGTCCACAAGGAATCAAACTTATCTTGTTTTACTTTTATGCTTACATTCCTAAGGACGTGTCAGTCCATTTGGGTGTACTTACACGTGTACGTATAGGTATGGATGAATGAAACATAGCAATCCACGTGCATTTGCACGTACTCTTTAAACGACTAAAAGGATTGACACAACCAATAGGATTAGTGAAATTAAACGAAACACAAAGAGTAAAAAATTTGCAAATCAAGTAGCTTGAAAAACATAAAAATAAAATGGAATAAATTTAATTTCTTGTGGCTCTCTCGGTTTTTGATCTCTTAATTCATATCTACAAGATATATATATAATTGATATGTACGACGACACACTTATTTACAAGTTAAAACACTAAGCAGAATAACAACAATAATGTTAAATTAAGAAACATGAAAAATAATGAGCGATTATCAATAAAAAGAAATAAACTAAATAGTTTCTTTTATGAGCAATTATTATGAAGACTAAGTCTTGTACGAGAGAGATTTTACATGTGTTGTATTAATATACAGAAGATAAAGAACACAGGTGAATGCAACATTTCAGTTTCAAACAGGGAAGGGTTACGCTAACAACTTTCTTTTATTAAAAAAAAAAAGTGATCACATTTTTTAATCGTAATTTTCTTTAGAAGAAAAAAAAAAAGATCCTTCGTTCTTTTTCTCTGAAGGACAACATATTAATGACTCACCTTCACCAATAAAGATGTCTATAAAAAAAAAATCTTTCTTTCCTTTCTCCGTGCATATTTATTCATTGTTACACAACCATCAAGGAGAAAAAAACAAGCACCCTTAAAAAAAGGGTAATGCAAAAAAAAAAAAAGAACGGTAGTAAAACAGACGACCAGATTCATATTATTATTTCTTTAGAATTTTATCAAAAGTAATACGTATAATGGCAGCTGCATTACATGTAGAAAAACCTGAACAACCTGCATTAGCTAAACATGATTCGAGTATTCTTGGTAATTATATTATAAAAAAAAAACAACAATAGAATTTCTTTTTTTTTTATAACAAAAACAAAAATTCTAGATTTAGCTTTTGCTATGGATTGTACTGGTTCTATGGGAAGTTATATTGAAAGTGCAACACAAAATATTCGTTCAATTGTTGAAGAAATAGTAACAAGTGAAAAAAGTAATATTCATTTAGCCCTTGTTGAATATCGAGATCATCCTCCACAAGTTTGTTTTCAAGGATTGTTTACTTTTATTTTTATTCACGTCATTTCTCATAGGAAAATACATTTGTTACTCGTGTACATGATTTTACAAGTAAAGTTAAAGAAATGAAAGGTTGGCTTGAACAATGTGATGCACAAGGTGGTGGTGATGCACCGGAAGCTGTCGCTGATGCATTACATGATGTTCTTAAATTATCATGGCGTCCAGAGGCAACTAAAATTTGTATTCTTATCTCAGATGCACCACCACATGGACTTGATCCAAATGGTGATGGTTTCCCTGAAGGAGATCCGACTGGTGTTGATCCTATAAAAACCGTACGAGAAATGGCTGAAAAACAAATAACACTTTATTGTGTCGGAGTTGAACCACCTATTGGTTAGTTGATTATAATTATGATCTAAAATATTACGATGAGGAATTTTTATGACGAATTACAAACGAAAGTATTATTGTTAGATTGTGAAATACGATCTAAAAGGAATGCGGAAGGAAAAATGGAGATTTCCCTTTCCTTCCCATAGACGATGGCAAATGTTATTGATAGATAGTCAATAGCATCTCGTTAAACTATGCGAACTACTTCCTTATTGTATTTCTGAAGAACTAAATAGAAGGATGATGATGAAGAGATGTGTCATAATAAAATAATCTTCCTATGATTAGCAACAGCAGCCAAATCATGTTTTACATTTAAATCATTTATGAGTTGCACTAACAGCTTTCTTTTTTGAGAAATATGCCTTGAATGAATAGAACGAGGGGAAGACTTGAGACTATGACCTATCGATGAAGAACTATGATCATTGTAGTGAAATTTTTACAAAAATCAAGACATAGTTCCGCTAGTTTCAGTAAAAACGAATTCAATTTTCAAGTGCATTCGATTACTATATTCTCCTTTGGTAAATTGCTGTTGTTTTTTTTTTGAAAATAGAATATCTCGCGAAATACATGTTCGTTTTCGTAAAACCTTTCTAACCTATAGATAACACCTCAGATTAAAAGACTCATCACTCTTTATCAATAGATCATGGATTCAAAACCTTCTAAGCTTGTCTTAATCTTCTAAGAGTCTATTTGTAGCCATAATATACAGCTGAACGACATCGGACAGTTGGATGTACTTTTTTTTTCTTAAGAAAAATGAATCTTCTAACACAAAATTCTACTTTACTGTTGTTATATGAATTTCTAAAAAAAAAATAAAATAATTAAATTTTTATTTTTAGTTCCTTATCGTGATTTTTTTATGACACTTGCTTATTTAACTGGTGGACAATATGTTCCAATGGTAAATGCAAAATTATTAGCTCAAGTTATAATTGGTGGTGTACGTGAAGAAATATCTTTAGAACGTCTTATGAAAGATGCTGAAGAAGATATAAATAAAGAAATGAAAAAAGCTGAAGCTGAAGGTGTTGATGAAGAAGAAATAACAACAAGAGTTAATCGTTTATTATTAGAAAAAAATTTACGTGTTAAACAAATGGATAATATAGCTGGAACAACATCATCTGTAGCTAAAGAAACCTATTCAAAATGTACTAATATGAAAGAATTACGAAGTCAATATAAAATTGAATCAATACCAGAACCAGTTTATCATTCTCGTATGACTCGTGCAGCTGTTCGTCGTGCTTATGGTAGTAGTAGTAAAAAAAAAGATGATAATGACGAAGAAAATGATGGTGAAAGTTTTTCACCACCAACAGCTGAAATGCATTATGATTTAAAAGAAGATGAAGCTGTGAGTATGGCACAAACAGAACGTATCGTACAACGAATGCGTTATAAAAAATAGATCAACTATAAACTCTTTCGAATAATGTTTTTTTTTTCAATTATCAAAAAAAAAACAAACAAACACTAAAAAAAAAATACTTTTTTTTTTATTATTTCGGATTTATTCATTAAAATAAAAAAGAAATATATATATATATATTTTAAACTTCAGTTTTCGAAAGTATACTTAACGAATGTATAGTTCCATTTTGTACAATATATTTAAACCATTTCAATGGTTCATTTCCACGTAATTGACCTTGTGTATTACATTGTAATGTTTGTTCATATGTTAACCACATAGCTCCATAACTAAAATAAAAGAAGATTTAATTTAAATGAATAAAATTTGATTCATCAAGTATTTTATTGAATTAAATATTAATCGAAAAAAACAAAAAAAACAATTTTTTTGTTATTTTAATATTAACTAACCTTTCATAATCAGGTATAGTTTTTGGTTCACAATTATCTTCATCAAATGGTTCAGCAAAATAAATAATACGAAGACGATTAATATCTGATCGTGGTACAAATTCAATTTTTAATATTCCAATTAAACGTATTTTAACACCTGCTTCTTCTAATGTTTCACGTTCAGCTGCTTTATCAAGTTGTTCACCTATTTCAACACGACCACCAGGTAACCAAAAACCTTTTGAACCTGATTCTTGAACAACAAGAAAACGATTATCACGTTTACGTTGACATACAACTAATGAAAATGCATATAGTGGTGTAGCTATTGAACGTTGTTGATGTTCATCATTATGTTCTTCATGTAAATGTACAGCATAATTACGTGTTGATCGTTGACATATTTGACATTTTATTGAAAGTTCTTCTTCATTTGTATGATAAAGTGGAACATGTATATAAAGTTGTGAAAATGAAAATAATGACCATTTACAATATGGACATGTATATGTTGATTTAGAATTTATTTGACCTAATGGAAGTAATTGATGTAGAACATTACGAATTTGTATCATAGATTCTGTAATCATATTAACACCAAGACTGGCAAAAGACCATCTAAAAACAAAAGAAAAAAACGTTACAGAAATTTCGATCGAAGCTAAAATTAAACTCATAAGCCTTATTTTTTTTAAAATTAGGTAATATTAGGGATGTACCGAGAGTCTCGATTCAGTCTCGGTCTCGGTACATCCCTAGCAGAGGTCCAAACAGGCCACGTTTTTTAGGCCTGTCAAGTTTTTGGAGCGAGTACAATAATGATGACAGACTAGAAATCAGAGATCCAAACAGGGCACTAGGGCTATTGCTCAACCTGATCCTGACCCGCCTGCCATAGGCATCATCCGTGGTTTTCAGACTAGTGCAAGTGACAGACCGACCGGCCAAAAATTGCTTGGACCTCTAACTTGCACTAGTCTGAAAACCATAGGTGATGCCTATGGCGGGCGGGTCAGGATCAAGTTGAGCACTAGCCCTAGTGCCCTGTTTGGATCTCTGGTTTCTAATCTGTCATCATTATTGTACTCGTTCCAAAAACCTGACAGGCCTAAAAAACGTGGCCTGTTTAGACATCTGATCCGTAGGTAATATACGACTTTTTACAAAAAATTAATGAGATTACTTTAAATTTGGTAATGCAATTTTAGTTTCCCTTTTCGAAACATTCTATGAATAATTATTTGAATAAAATGTTTATTTATGAATATTTACCGAAGATTAGGATCATTACAAGCTGTATGAGAATGAATTATAATAAATGTATGTTTTTCATGACGACGAATTGTTTCGACTAATATTTGACCTGAATTTTCATCATTCGTACCTAATTTTGTAATAACAATTGTTAATCGAGAAGGATTTTTTGTTGATTCTATATGTTTAATAGCTTGTTCTGATGTTATAAAAGAATGTATGATAAATTGTGTAGGAAATTCAGTTTTTAATAAATTTTGTAATTCAGTATATTCAACATCAGATTCTTGTGATGACCATAGAAGAATAAGATCAAATAATGCTGAAGACATCTGAAATCGAAGATATCCATAATTTAAAAAAAAAACACAGATCTAATATATTGTTTGCTACTCTTCGAGTAACTAGTCCTATAAAAAATAAAAATTTTATAAAAGAATCATTCAAATGGTTATTTACAATTCGAGTTCATAGTTGATTCACAATAGATAGACTTAATAGTTTCAGCGAGAAACCATATTCTTTTGTTCATATATTTTTTTTTTAAATGTCGATAACAAATGATTATTTATTGAAAATTTACTATTGTAACAGAAGAAGATTCTTTTCCAATGGGAAGTATTCAGGATAATTCTACAGATCATTCAACATATCTACATCGAAAGTCCAGTCAAACACTCATAGCTTCACTATAGAAACGAACTCTTTTACTTGTTGTATATTCTCATCAAAACATTCTTGTAAAACTACTATGAGTGCACAACGTTTTGATATCAATTCCGATGGACCTTTCTTTAGTCATAAGCGAAAATAGTTTTTGCTCTCATTAATAGAAGAAAAAAAAACTAATAAATTAGTATCACAATAAAAAAAAAAATTGTAAAAAAAATTGATATACAAATATTTATCGAACTTGAAGCACCATGGATGTAGCATTTGTATAACAAGTAAATATTTTTTTATGTGCTCTATCAAGCCAATATCGATCATATTGATAACCACCAATGAGATTTTTTTGAGTTTCATTTATTATTTCATTTGATTCTAAACCAAAAAATCCTCGTAAAACTAATCTTATACGTTCTAATAATGGTAAACGTTGTTGTAATAATAATGTCCAAAATGTAGCATGAATATAATCTTCTTTATATATGAGAGTATCAATTGAAAAACGTTTTAATGATGGTAATACATCTAATAAACGTTGAAGAATAGATACATTAAATGAACGATAATAAAAACGAAGATGAACTATTTGAGGATATTTTACTGTTGTTTGTGATAATAATTCATTATTATCATTTGTTATTAATGAATTACAACGAGAATCAAGTGTCATTGATAATGAATGAAGATGTGGACAATATGATAAAAGTAAGAAAAGACGATCAATATTTATAAAATTTAATGAAAGTACTTTAATATTCGATAATGAAAGTGTTTTATTATCACACCATTGAATTTTCTATAAAAAATAATAATTAAAGAATAATATAATTAATTAGTTTTCTTATTAAGTTAAACTTATCGATTTTGGTATCTTAATCAAAATAGAAAGAAAGTATATCGAACTTTAACTAATAAAATTTATTCGTGAAATATTCAATAAAAATATCTTCTATCAATGGGCATATATATAGATGGTTAGCTACAGCGATCAACTGACAGTCACTAAATTCAGAAATTATTAACATCAATAGTTGTATGAGTATGATAAACAGTTCCTATCGAGCAATCACGCTCAAAAACAATCATAAATCATTGTATTTTGGTGTATTATAATGGTTCCATATTACGAATCGTACCCCGCAAGTATATACAAATTTCCTATACTTCGTCATGACAGTTTAATGATATAATATATCGTCTTGATGATAGTCTGTCAAATACTAACAATCCGATTCGTGTTGAATAATCTTAGTTTGAGAGTAAATATATTTATCTATAAGGAGTGAAATGTCGCTGCGTTAATGTCTTAACTACTCCTTGTAGGGCTCTTTGATCTTACGCTTATTTTAATTCAGTATCTATATTCCTAGAGATCAATTGTTTCTTTAGGAGTGATATGATCATACGGCTAAGAAATATAGGACCTGGAATATGAAAATATATTTGTATGCGTGAAAGTTCAATGTTGCACTATGTCTTTGGGAAATTTCCTAAAAACATAAGTTAATTTTTACTTTCATTAGTCGAATACATTCAGAAAGATTCATGAAAACCTATTAGTCAAATTCAAGCTTTAACTAGGATTAGTTTATTGAAATGAAAAAAACTCTTTAAGATTTTTTCTCGGATGTAGATTCTGTCATTTTTTTCTTATAAACTAACTGTAATTGAAGTAAAAATGATTAATTCGAATATAATCATATGTATAAATAAATTTCAATAAATATTTACTTCATGAAAATTAAGTCCTAAAACACGTATATTCGGTTGATTAAATAATTCATATGTAACATTTATTAATTGTTTATCATGAAAAATTTCATGTGTATTTATATGTAAATGATTTAAATTAATTAATTGTTTTATTTGTTTTGTTATATTAATTAATTCATTATAATTAATATCAATTAATATTAATGAATATAATGATTGAAAATAAATAAAATTTGTATGAAATAAAAATTGTTCAATTTGTGGATAACGATAATAATTATTTGATAATATTAATGTAAATATATTATAACAATTTGTTTGAAATAATGATAAACAAAATTTATCAAATTTTGCTTTATCAATTTTTGATATATTAGCTGTTAAACGTAAACGTGAATCAAATACAAGTGTATTAAATCTTGTATTCATATTAAAAAATATTGTCCAAATATCTTCAACATCCATATATTCAAATATAACCATGAGAAGTTCACCTGAAAGATCTTCAAAACAAGTCATCTAAAAATATAACATATATATTCATAAGAATAAATAATTGATCTTATATTTAACTTTAATTTTACTTTGTAATAGCTTATCGATCTTTATGTACAATGTCCAAACTCAATAGTTATTTTCAAGTCAGAGAAATTCTCATGTTATCAGATTCATACCAAAAAAAGGAAACTGTTTTTTTTGCCTTAGACTTTGATCTGCTTCGTAGATAATATTGACAGAATAAATAAATTATACTGTTATGTTTCATCAAAAAGAACGATGAAGGATTTTGTTGATTATGTGTTCTATGTAACGAATGTTTTCGCTCGGAATATATTACTCAAAAAAAGTTAATATATTGATTTGTTTATTTATAAAAAAATATTTGACGCAGAAGAAATCAATCGTGTATATGTTAGAATATGAATAAATGAAAAATGATTTTTTATGTCTAATTAAAAACAAAACAAAAAAAAAACGACATCTGTTCTATTTTTAATTTTACCTATGACATAGATTTTATTATATGTATACTAGAAAAAATAATAATAAAAAAACATAGTTAAGATAAGTCTTATCTATGTTTTTCTTTTGCTTTTCAGAACTATATGAGTCATGAAATGATATCTTAGTATAGACGATGATATTTAATAATAGATGATTGTGCAAATACAGTTGATTGACGTCATATTTCTATGTAAATTATTCATTGGTTTTTAAATATTATAGACTCTGGATTTTCTCAAATAGGTGATTTTTTTTTAAATAACACACATTGAAAAATTTGAAAAATTACAAATGAGAATTCTTAATTGGTTATTGCTTTTAAAATCAAGATTATGTATATCAGATAGGTCCTAATGAACTATGTATTTCTATAGTATATTTTCTTACAATACTATGACTTCTTTCTCAGGATATGAAGGAAAGTTTATTGGAAGAATTTTACATTTTCTTATTCTTAGATACGATTATAGTAGAAATGTATCTTTTATATCGGCTCGTAAATATCGTAGAATTGATATTTTCAGTTTAGAATGATAACAAAGACAAGATCTGAAATTTTCATATAAATTTTTTGATAACACGATGAATTTCGATACTAGTTGAATTATTTTCAATGAGATAAAAATTTATTAAATATCTAAAATCTTAACAAATAGAACAATACATATCGAACTTTAATTTTATCTTGACAGACAAAAAGAATATATTTCAAAATTTTTGAACTATTGTTATGTTTAATAAGTTAGCTTTTTTTTTAATCATTAATAAAGCAAAGTTATAAGTTGAGTCTACCGAAAATCGACACAATTTACAATAATCTGTGCTCTATATTGCTTTTCTTTTTTATCATACAATGGAAATTTCAGCTACAATGAATATTTTCTTCTTAGAATATCAAATCCTTAAACAAAAAAAAAGATTTGAAAACTCAGTAAAAATTACCATAATACGGACAGATAACAACATGAATACAAATAATCATAGATTATATCTATTCTAAGTAGGTTCTATCTAATAACAAAAGTCTTGTCATCTCAAAAGCTCTTCTTATTAGACAAAGGTCAACATCTATTTCTATAAAATTCTTTTTGTTTTTTCAATATAAAAATAAGATAAGTAAATTATGTTTAATACATTAATTCAAATTTGATTTCGATCATTGATCATTTCATATTTACATACAACATTGTTCAGAAATGAACGTGACATAGAGATACAAAAAAAAAGAAGAGAGAGAGAGAGAACAGAGCAATTAAATAAGCACCGGAGGTGTTATTTACAACCTTCACAACGTGGATCCGTACAGTCAATATTATGTCCTGGTTTTCTGATTGTTTTCTCGTTCAATATTGTAGTACGTTGTAAAGATTGTAGTTGATCAGTAGAATTCGTTTTTGTAAGTTTAACACGTTTTTGTTGTCGTTGTCGATATATATCCATAGTTGAACGTTCACTTACATTTAATGGTGCTTGTTGTTCTTCATCATCACTATCACCATGACCAGTTTTACGACTTTGTTGACCATTATTTGTATTTGTTGGATCAAGATCACGAACAATTTCACCTTGAATACTAATGCGTATAGGTTCAAAAGCTAAAAACAAAATTCAAAAATCTAACATATTGATACTATCAATGGTATTCAAACATCTTCTATTAAGATGAGACTATTGATATTTGATTTAATATTAATTATGTACAAAAAGTATCTCGTATGTATTCTAAAGTTACTTTCTAATGATCAAGGATATCGTACAAAATGAATGTAAATATCCATCGGGTCTAGACATCTATCAATATCACAACGTAACCTTAGAATAGAAAAGGTTACCGCATCGCTAACATTCATTTGAATGTCAAGAGTTTAGAGAAACTACCTATAATATCATTAACTTAACCGTTTGGCTCCCGGTGACGTATATATAGGTTCGAATCTATTTATCGAATAAAAGTATCAGTAGCATATTTTTTTAGCTGTCTAGAAAAGCTTTTTATCGTTTGTTCGGTGATGTTATATGAGTATACTTCTTCTTTGTTTTGATATCATCAGAAAAGTTTTGACAAAGTTCAGACCACAAACATTGTATCTAAAACAGTCTTGACGAAAATGTATAATTTGCTCATTCCATAGTCTTCGATACGATATACGTGTCCTAACTGCAATACTCTTATGAGTAGCGGCGTAACTAGGGGGTGGCCAGATGGGGCTAAGCCCCATCGTCGATTTAGAGCTCGACCAGATGAACTCTTCACCACTACTTGTGAGTTCTTGACTTTCTAGTACATTCCGTTTTATTCTGAACCCATGTATATATATATATATACTTCTCTCTGACTTACAACTGGTTAGTGATTGATTACTTTCACATACCTCTATGTATTGTTGATTGCTTCAAAGATGAACTATTAATGTTTCTTTTTTTAACACAGAAATGTTATTTCCTTGTGAAAAAAATCATAGTTAAACTTTGATTTTCACGAAAACAAAAAAAATATAGCCGGAAGCCAAAAGGTTAAATTGTACTCTTTAAATTTATAATTATCAATCAAAAAATGATTCTAATGTAATAAAATAATAGTCATTCGCATAACTAAATATTCATTAATTACCTTTCATATCAAATATAAACAAAAACATTATTTGTTAAATAATATAAAAATTTTTTATCATTTTTCGAATAATATCTATGAAAAATAACTTACTATCAGGTATAGTAATACGTGCAATACGTTCCATTAATTCATCAATAATAACAAATGGACCCTATTGATAATAAAACAATAGAAAATTCATTTGTTTTTTTTTTTCTTCAAAAAAAAAAATTATTTACTTCAAAATTTCGTGATGGTGGAAGAACTTTAACAAGATAAAGTGCTGTATCAGGTAATGGAAAAACTCCACCGGGTGTTGGATGACTACCAGGTAATGGATTTCGTGTTGGTCGAAATGGCATCATATGTTTAATATCTGGTCGAGGTAAAATAGCTCGTCGATCACGTATAGTTTGTTCTAATGATGATGATGATGATGTTGTACCATTAGTATTAATATTATTATTTAATACAGATATATTTGTTAATGATATATCTTTATAACCAAGTAATTTAAGTTCATCTATTGAACATGGTAATAAATTAAGAAATTTATAACGATCAATAAGTAATAATGTTTCTCTATCATCTAATTCATTTAATTCTAAATATATTTTTAAACGACGTTTTTCAACTTTTTTTATTGATTGTAAATCTCCAACTTGTGATTCAAATTTAAGAAATTCATTCCATATTCTTGGTTGTAATTGTTTTAATATTGTATTATTTGGTGATAATATACGTTCAAATAAAACACGTGCATTATGATCTTCATTTAAATGTGTCATATAATCAATATAACTTAATATATAATCAAGATTTTGATTATATTTTTTTAAACCAAGATTAAATATATTAAATGCAATATTATTATCTTTTGTACAATAATATTCCATTAATGCAGCAGCAACATATATATGATAATTTGTACGTATATCTTCACGTGCACGTTTAAATATTGTACGTGCTGATTTAATACCATCTGTACGTCGTTCAAAACGCATTGCTTGTATATATGCTAATGTTGGATCTTTTAAATTAGCTTCATTTATATCTAATAAACGATTATATATTGAACGTGCTTTATCAATATTTAAACGTTGTTCTTCAAAATCAGCATAAGCAAAATGTATAAGCATATTTGAACGCATATATGTTTGTATTGAACGTTCATATAATATAGCTGTATCATCAAGAAAACGTTTTGCTAATTGTACATCACCTTTTTCAGAATATTCATGTGATATTTGTTCTAAATATGCACATACTTCATACCTACATAAAAAAAAAAAAATTGTAAAAATATTTATTCATTTATTGAATTTAACCACTTTCCGGCTCGCTACCAGAAGACTAGTAATAAAAATATCTTTTATAGCAAATTTGTAGTTCTCGTATTGTGAAGATATCAAATGTGTAATCGTTGGAACAAAAAACTTTTTCGTTATCAAATGATTTGTTGTTGCCGTTTGGAAACATCCTCATTTTTTATTGTTCGGATTTATTCTATAATTCGACTTACGAGGGAACATTCCCAAGTGTCACATCGCTTTTGAGTCGAGAGTATGAGCATCATGTAGGTCCTAGTGATCTATGAACACCCTGAAAGAAGTTCGTGCCGCTAGCTTATTGGTGCCGAGATATTGCATTTTTACGGTATTCTTAAAAAATGAAAGCTGTGGTCCCCCTCAGGAACATCAGAAAACCTAATTTTCGAATTTCGATTTAGAACTTTGCAAAGAGATAGATCTTGATGGGAATAGTTTATTGTAAAAGTTTCAGATCTTTTGTTTTGGTTTTATCCTGAAACACGAACGTCGAATCTGCCCATGTATAGGAGAAATTTTATAGTAGCCGTATCTTAGGATATGAACATCCAAAAGCTCTGAAACTTTTACTATAAACTATTCTCATTAAGGCCTGATTGTGCGCAAAGTTTCAAGTGAAAACTCAAAACTCAGTTTTCTTGATGTCCCTGAGGGAGACCACGGCATTCTGTTTAAAAATAACTAAAAATGCAATATCTCGACACCAATAAGCTAGCGGCACGAACTTTTTTTAGGTTATTCATAGACCATTAGGGTCTACATGATGCTTATAGTATCGACTCAAAAGCGATGTGACACTTGGGCATGTTCCCTCGTTAGTGATACAGTAGATTACATATCCCTGAATCGAAAATTTACCACTAATTGCATCTTCAATTGAAGCACAAGGAAAAGTAATTATTTCGATTCGGATGCTCTTTTGGGGCATTGTGAATTGAGTCCTTCATCTCCTCACTGAAATCTTTTTATTTTTCGTATGAATGCATGAATTTATGCAGAAATGTATTGGCGTAATTATCAATGTGTTAACAAAAATTATACGTTATTAACTTAAGTCAATCTGTCACAAACATTGACTTCATGTTGCCAAACGGTAACATCCGGCCGGAAAGGATTCAATATTTCTGAAATATTCAAAATTTAGATAACATACCAAAGATCAGCATGATAACCAAGACAAAGTAAACATTGTTCATAAGCTAAAACAACTCGACGTATAACAAGTAATGTATCATCAGTTTTTAATGGATTTGATCGTTCCCATATAATAAATTTTTTCCATGCATTTATTTGTTTTATTTCATCAGGTGTTTGTGGTATTGTTGATGGTATACATGGTATATTACGATCAATTGTACGTACTAATGTTTCAAATTCTTTTGTAACACGTTTAACATTTAAAAATTCTCTTGAACGTTCATCAATTATTTTTTTAGCTAACATTGGATTAATACCCTAAAAGAATAAATTATGATTAATTTAATATAATTAAAAAAAAAGCAAAAGAAAATATTTTAATGGAGATCATTTTTTTGGTAGTAACATACCATTTCATATGTACAATATTCTTTCCATAATAATTCAACATTTGTCATTGGTGTCATAATACCTTTTTGATAAATTTTTCGTACTGTTGTCATTCTTTTATTTTCAGCATCAGAACCAACAGCTTCACTTTGAATTATAAAAAAAAAAACAATTCTATTGTCTAACAAAAAAAAAATTATATACTTACACAGATTTAAGAAATGTAATATAATCATTCCAAATACTATATGAATAAACATCCATGCCAATTTTTTCCAATGCAAAATCATATGCTTGTGCCATTTTTTCCCTACATAGATACATATATATATTAATATTCTTATCAAAAATTCTTCGATTTGTTCACATAAGTATAAATCTCATGAGAGAAACGTTCTCATTTAAAAATTAATTTTAAATTCAAATGAAAACTCAATGTAGTATGAAGTATTGCTTAGTGATCGATTCCATAGCTCAATATCTTTCTTACAACATTAACTAATTCTAGCTTTGAACAGAAAGCTAGCCTGAAGCTGAATCGTTGCACTCAGTGTTTCATCTAGGTTTCGTTTCCCGAGTGGGCGAGTCGAAATTTCGGGTGGGCGGCGCCCACCCAGTAAATAAATCAATGGTTGCACTCCCTACACACACTAACTTAACCACAAGAACAAGTGTATGCTATAACATAGCTAGCGATTTGTTCAAAGTCATTCGATCGCTGATAATATTGAATAGACGATAGAGTTATGACCGCTTTACCAGAATTTTTTTGCTTATAGTAAGATATATATAAAAGAATCGAATAAAGATATTTTGACATGAAATTATAACAAGAATGTCTTGAAAATATTAGTTCAAAAGCATGTTCTTTTCACGAGATATCGAATTCTCATAAAATCACACTCGTATTTCATGAAAGATTCTAGAAATGCATTTTTTTTTGTTTTTAAGGATTCAGTATTTTCTTTTGTACATACCATCAGTGGGGGACACAGGGGGGGGGGGGGGCGGGGGGGGCCCGGGCCCCCCCCCTTGAGACGAAAAAGTCCTGGAGGGGGGTACAGGAAAAAATATTTTCACGTGATAAAAAATTTTTTGTGCCATGGCCGGCCCCCCCCTACGAAGTTGGGCCCCCCCTTGAAAAATTTCTGCGTACGCCACTGCATACCATTCTAAAGACTAAAGTCTCAATAAAATTTTTATAATTTTATAGAAAAGTCCTAAGTGCTTTTTATCTTTTTGAAATCTTTAATACATCATTCATATCAAATTAATTTATGTACAAAGTTCAAACTTAAAAGCGATTTTCAAGTGAGATAAATTTCCTCATCAACAATCAATATTATATTTGCTCGTAGCTTGTAATCAGTTGTTTAAAACGTTATTACATTTCTATACGATCATTTCAATTCAATTGATTGATCAACAAATTTTTTATTTACTAACTCGATTATATATTTAAGAATCATTTCATCTGCTTTTACTAATCAATTATAAATAATAGCCAAATACATATATATTTCTATTTCAATTCAAAAAATAGTTTAATTATCAATAATGATTGTCTTTTATTTTTCGAAAGGAATGTTGTATGTATGTTTAAAAAAGAAAAACAAAGAGTAAAGAATAAAAAAATAAAAAGAACAAGTGAAGGTATATAAATTTTGTTCTTTTATTTTGTTTAAAGAATGTATAAAAACAAAAAATAATATAAATGTAATTCAAAAAAACAAAAAAATCTCGATTTTCTTTTTTTTTATTAATCAATTCAAAAACCTAAATAAATCAAACCTGAATGATGATAATTTTCCTTTAGTATCACGAACATAATTTAAATAACATTTCCATAAATCAATATTTAATACTTTAATTAAACATCTTTGAAATAACTAAATATAAATTTTTATTTTTATACATAGTAATTTTTCATTACAAAAAAACAAAAAACATACTTTTTCAACTTTTTCATAATTTCGGTCTTTCATCTAAAAGATTTCAATAGTTTTTTTGTTTTTTTTTAATAGAAATTTACTTCAGATTCAATATAAATTTTCCAAAATTTTCCACATGTTGGAAATTGTGTAATCAATGTTTCATAAAATTCACGTGATTCAGTGATTTTCTTATCCTAAAAAAAAATTTTTTTTTTTTTTATAATTGAAACGAATTTATTCTTTAATCATCAAACAAACTTGAGCATCTTGAATAAGTATTGACCATGCATCAAGTGAATGTTTATTTTCATTTAAAATTCTTCTAGCTTGTTGAATTTTTTCATTACGTGTTAAATCCTAATGTTAAACATTAAAAAACAAAAAAAAAAAAAACAAAATCTCATGTACTTCTCTTATATAAATACTCATTGGAAATAATTAAATCTGAAATATATGTAAATCGAATTTTTCTTTTTTTTTTTTGATTTCGAATAAGAAAAAGAAAAAAAAAACCAAATAAATTTTTACAGATGACAAAGAAAAATAAATGAAAAGTCAAAAAATAGATGTTGTTCGATTTTTTTTTTGTTCATTAATTAAGTATTGAACGACGAACAGAAAATAAAGCTTGTAGAAGAATATAACCAATAACTAAAGTATAAACAAATCGATCACGAAAATCTCGTCTTGCCAATGTTCGTTCAATAATATTTATACGATTTTGAAGTAATTGAAATTTATTTAATATTTGTTTATCATCAAGTTCAGAATATGGTACAAGATTCCATCTTAAAATATAATCAAAAAAATTTTTCATTATTTTTATTCAATTAGATAAATCATACGAATCAGTCATTTTAATTGGTTGATGAGAATTAGGTTTATCAATTGTTGTATAATCATCATCACTTAATGGTTCAACATCTAATGGATGAGATGCATTTTCTTGTGTAATTGAACCTGATGAATGATAAGGATCATTAGTTTTTGAAAAATCAGTACCAGTAGATATTTCAGTATTGGAATGATTACCTGAAATATAATTAAACAAAAGATTTAGTGAAGGAAAATAAATAAAGGATAGAAAATGTTTGTTTTCTAACCAAGTCGAATACTATTTGGTACTTCCATACGAACAGGTAATCGATCATCGTCTATATGAAGACGAGGTACAGATGATCGACTAGGACCAACTGTAATTGAATCAGGTACATGCATTTGATAACCTAAAAAAAAATGATATTAAAATACTAATGGAATTAAAAGTATGACTTCAATTGGATTTTATATACATCGAATGTCATTTTCTTACATTAATAAAAATGAATCGTTTTTTTTTTATGTTTGGAAAACAAAAAGAGTGTTATCAAACACAAGAGATATTGTATGTATCACTAGTTGTATACTTCATGTCACCTACAAGTATACGGATCAACTTCTTAACTGATAGATGGAGCATCTTAGATAAGAAGTAAACAAATGTAAAGTAGACATTAGAAAAAGCATTAACTTTTCATAGGAACACCCATTCCTTCTAACACGGTCCAATCGGACTGAAATTTTTTTCCCGAAAATACCTTAGCCTATATTTCAATAGTGATGTTAAATTTTGCTTTGTTTTTTTTTGTATAAGAGCATGACTTAAATTTTCGGATCCAAAACCGAAGTGTCGGTGTTCTAGATTCTCTAAATCTAAGTTGAAACCGAGCGATTTCACTTGTGAAGAATGTTTTCAGATACTTTTCCTAGAAATTTTAACTCCATCACACAAAGGTAGATGACCTTTGTAATCAGTCCTACTATGTTCCTATGAAAAACCGAAGTTTAGTGTTGATATGAGTATGGATGAGAAGAGAACCCGAATCCAGACAATATAATTGAGTCAACAATAAATGTATTTTGAAATGCTTCTAATTATCGATAGAATCAATACCATTTTTTAATCTTCGAACGATCTATTATTAAGTGTTTTAACGCAATATTTTATCCAATAATGGAAGTGACATTTCTTCAAAAACTGAGCTAACTCTTCCGGAAGAGAAAATCAAGCATTGTATCTATATTTTTATTTTATCCAGGTCGAGAAATACCGACCGATTCCCACAGAAAAAAACCGGAAATCGATAGAACTTGGCAAAACCGGCAGCCGGACACGGTCATTGGATTCCTAACATTTTCCTGCAGGTTTCGGCCGGAAATTCACGGAATATTGTGCTTCAGAAATTATCGACCTGAGTTACGATAATTTTTTCATTCTTAACATAAACTTTTCTTTTACCAATCAAGAAAAAAATAAATCTAAACTTACTCATATTTGTAATATGATTGAGATCAATTTTTTTTCGTACCAAATCATCGGGATCATTTGCTGAATAGTTCATAATAAATTTTTAAATCTAAAATTTCTTTTCTTTTATTATAATTATCTTTTTTTGTATGCATTTTGGAAATAGACGAAGGAAAAAAAATGCACATATAAAGGAATGGGCTTATTCAAGAGAAAAAAAAAAAAAAAAAAAGAAAAAAAGGAAATTTTTGTCACTATGCATTCAATGATTGTTGTTTGAATACAAGAATTGATTCGGATGACCAATATAGATTGCACGATTTATAAACTAAAATAAAAATATAATTTAAATAAATAAATTTTCAAACAAAAAAAAAAAAGGAAATTCTTTACCTAAACCCCAAATATACGGTACAAAAAAATCTTCTGGTTGTTCTTCTTCAACATATTTAAATTTTAAATCAGGAAATTTCTTAAAATAAAATAAAAATATTAAAAAAAAAAAAAAAAATGATTTACTTTTAATCGATCTAATGGAAATTGTTTAACATTTATTTCTAATGTTTCTTTAACATATTCAGCTGAACGATATTTTAATTGATCAATTTTTTCAGCAAAAAATGTTATTACCTAATTTACAAAAAAAAAAATCTTATTCAAAAAACAAAAGAAAATTTATTACTATATCAATATTTTGTAAAATATCTTGAAAACTTGGATGTGTTCTATAATAATCAAATATTTCTCTATTATAAAGTAATGCATAAATAAGATTAACATTATATCGAAGTGTATGTGTTAAACAAGAATTAATTATTTCTAATATCATTCTCATTACATCTTCAATAATTGATAAATCTTGTATATATTCATTAAAATTTTCATCATTTGATGCTACAATTTGTAAATTATTTGTTACTAATGTTGTTGATGATGCTGTATTATCTTGTCGAGATTGTTGTTGTATAAGATCTAAGATTTTTGAATGTTTACGTGAAAGTGCATTGAATAATGAAATAATACGTTGTGTTATACATGTATGTAAATTTTGAAATTGTGATGACATATTTGCTAATGTAGCTAAACAATTTGTATGAAGATATTTATCACGCATACGTGCCATATTATATTGTATTGTACGAAGAACAATTGAAATAAGTAAACCACCTAAATTTATTTCATTTATTGATCGTTCATTATACCTAAAAATAGAATAGAATATTTTTTTTTAAAATTTTTCATCAAGATTCTTCAAATACTCATTTTTTGCAAAACTCAGCCTGTCCACAGATAATGCTCTTCATGTTGAGGGAATCTCTTCAAGTTTTAGTCGCCGATCGAGCTCATATTTTGCCCATAAGTAAAGACTAGCAGAAGCCCGGAAGGATTCGTTCCGATCCGCTATCGTTCTAGTGGCGTATCCAGGATTTTTTGGTATGCTGGATTTCAACTTCAGAGCATGGGACCCACGTGAAACTTATAGAGATATGATATTGGGTCCAAATGATGAGTTTTTATCAAAAGATTTTTGTAACGGGAGTTTGCGTAAAAAATTAGCATTTTCCTGAGCCCCACCAAGATTTTTCTTTTTCTATTGGTAGTATCCTGATTTTTAGAATTTAATAGTAAGCTATATCGGAATTCATCGACAGATTTCAAATTTCATCTAAAAATATGCATCCGTTCATGAGTTACAATGTTTTGAATTTTTTCTAAAATTTTAGCAGCATGCAGCAAATTTCCAAAACATTATAACTCGTGAACGGATGCATATTTTTAAATGAAATTTGAAATCTGTCGATGAATTCCGATATAGCTTACTATTAAATTCTAAAAATCAGGATACTACTAATAGAAAAAGTAAAATCTTGGTGGGACTCAGGAAAATGCTAATTTTTTACGCAAACTCCCATTACAAAAATCTTTTGATAAAAACTCATCATTTGGACCCAATATCATATCTCTATAAGTTACACGTGGGTCCCATGCTCTGAAGTTGAAATCCAGCATACCGAAAAATCCTGGATACGCCACTATATCCTTCCGGAGTTACGACTATTTTACTGGTTTTTCGACCTCTGGCAATGAAATTTTGTCCATAAACAGATCTCATGATCACTAGAATGTTCTATAACTTTCAGCTAAAATGAACGTTTCTTTTTTCGAGATATTAGATTTCCAAGAAGTTCGATTTTTTTTATCTTTGTCTTTGAAATATGATCGTTCCTTGAAAATTCAATATCTTGAGAAAGAAACATTCATTTTAGTTGAAAGTTTTAGAATATTCTAATGATCATGAGACCTGTTCATAGGCAAAATATGAGCTCGATCGGCGATTAAAACTTGAAGAGATTTCCTCGTAAGACAAAAGACCTGATGATGGTAAAATGTGTGAAACTTGTTCCTACAAAGAGTTATTACCAATACATTACAGTGCAACGCATTCATCAATTTTTTTTTTCAACTTCTTAAAAGAACACATTGTTTTTTTTATAGCTTTGACAACAATAGAAGATGATTCATGGATGTCAAACTTCGATAATATCACTATGAATTCTACTTTTCTAAATGATAAGGTCGTATTCGAACTATGATAGTAGAAAATAAGACTCTTTTTGTGCAAAAAATGTTTGATTTTGGCTGGCGACCATTATGCCCCAAAACAAATAACATCTATCAATAGAGAATATACGAAAACCTATAAAAAAAATTTTTGAATGAATAAGTTCGGACATCTCAAATCTTCTGCTCAACTTTGATCTTTTTTTTTAGCTGAACTTTATGTTGTTCAAGATCATATTTTATAAATTATCATCCATTCTACAAAACAATCGTTTTTCAGTAGATCAAAATTGAATAAACATCTTGTCTAAAACTTTTTTTTTTATTTACTCATTATTACAAATTCATGGTTCAATTTATTGAACATTTTTATAAAATAACTCAATTGTCATGAAATAAATATGAAATACAATTTAATCTGTCCTTTACTAATGTATTTTTTAATTAGTCATAACCACAATAACATAATCAGAAAGCTATTTGGACTAACCTTGTGATTACGAGTCAATCAGCCATAACGATTCGTATTCACATCATGAAGGATAGTGATGAGAATAAAGGATTCAGTGAAAGGTAGTTTTGAAGCGAAGTGAGAGTGTTATGTTACTCACGATAGTTTCTTCTTGATTTGTAACAAATACTCGACACCCTTTTTATTTTTCAGTTAGATTCATAAATACCTATTTTGAAGATGAATAATATGTGTTTTGTATTTCTTATCAGAAATATATTTACATAGTAACGAAAACAAAAAAAAAACATATCTCAAACTCTCATTCTACTAATCGGTTTTAACCAAGACAAAAAATGATTATATAAATAGAAGAATATTTATAAAATAAAATTTTACCATGTAAGTTTTTTTAATTTAATATCATGAATTGTTCGATTAAAATCATCATCTTCTGATAAAATTAATAAAATAATTAATGACATATATATATGATGAGAATTTCGTTCTGCAGATGTATAAATAACTTGAAGAACTGGTAATACCTGTTTTTTATTGAAACAAAAAAAATTAAATTATACAAAAATTTAAAAATAAATTTATTTACAATTTGATCAATATTTGTTCGTGATATAACATAAGCTTTAAAATGTTGATTACGATGAAGTAATAAATAAAGTAATAATGTACTTTGATCTGTATGTACAGTTTGACATAAAATATCATATAAACGATGATAATCAATAGAAAACCATGGTAATGGTTCTGAATCAGGTAAATTTGTTGGACTATCTAGAAAAATAACAAAAAAAAAAGACAATTTATAATATAATTATTTTTCTACTTAATTTTCTTGCCTTGTGTATCAGTAAAATGTAATAATGCTAATCGATAAGGATTACGATGTATATCATTTGTAAAATGATTACTTAAAATTAAAAGTAAATGAATACTTTGATTTGATAAATGATGATTATTTATTGAATCAATTGTTGTTATTGTTTCATCATTAATAATTGATGTTGATGATGAACTCATACCAAGTGTAACAACTGACCATAGACTATCTAAAATTATAAGAAATTATTTTTCAATAGAATATGATTTAAATTAATTTTTAAATTCATATAACATACTTGCAACACTTTGTCCAATTTTAAATAAACTTCCACTTGGATTTTTTGTTTCATCAATTGAATTTGCTAATAAAAATGATGGACATTCAATTTGTTTAATAAAATGTTCTAATAAAGTTCGTGTAAATTCTGATATTAATAATGGACTAAAGAAATATAAAATAAATATTGATTTTTTCTTTTATTGAAAATCAAAAAATTACAAGATGTAAGATAACCATTACGTCCCCCTCTCTAGAACTTAAAATATAAATGATATCAATGAGTTTTATATACTAGATTAACGCTCGTCAAAAACTGGATTTATGAATATAATTAATAGATCTTAGAACAATTATTGCCTATCAAATTACTGAAATGTGCTCGTACTTTTACCAAAAATAATAGCAGATTCGTAATCACCATAAAAAACTGCATCTATAGACATGTCATTTGAATGGTTTTGACGAAAAAACAAAATTTTTTTCAAAAACCTTGCGTGGTATGTATTTTTGGCATAAAATGCGTATTCCTCAAGATTTTTGAAAAAATTTTTTTTCGTCAAAAAGATACAAATGATATGTCTATAGATGCAGTTTTTTATGGAGATTACGAATCTGCTATTATTTTTGATGAAAATATTCCCTAGACTGAAAGGCTAAAGTCTAGATACGGAAATTCACCTGTGTCTGCGTGTAACACTTGGTACAGCTGACCATTTTCATAGTACAAAAGTACCGCTTTGGTGGTAGAGGGGACCATTTATTTGGCACAATTGGCCATTTTCATTATACAGATGACTGTTTGTATGGCTCAATTCAGTATCTTCACGGCACAATCAACTATTTCTATGGCACAGTCGACGATTCTTATGGCTCAAATGACCATTACTTTGAAATAAATCAGCATGTTGGTCGTTATAATTAACTAAAGCATAAACTTTTTCATATACATTAGCATCTTTTA